TCTCAAAAAAAAAAAAAAAAAAAAGAAAAAAGAAATGGGCATCAGTTAACAAGAACAGGGAGGCAGGCTTTAGGGAGATGGGCAGGGCAGAGGAAGGCATAGAGCAGAGGAAGAGCCCGGAGGTACAAAGCAAGCTGTGGGAAAGCCAAATGGCTAAGAGGGCCTAGAAGAAAAGCAGGGCCAATGATGGCACCCTCAAGGCAGCCGCTGTAGGCACTGTTGGGAGAAGAACAGGCCCCAGCTCCTTCCACTCCCTCAGGACCTAATCCTGGCTCTTCCTCAGCAGGGCCAGAACCTGGCAGATGCATTACAAGGAACCTGACATTATGCTACAGCTATAAGTGGGCACCTGTCCCTACAAAACAAAATGAGACCAACACCCAGACTCATGGGGGCTTAGCAGTTCTTAATTACCTGTTTGTCTTAAACATTATTAACAAGGATAACTTAGCTCTGACTGTGTCTTAAAGACACAAATAAAGGTAAGATGTTACCATTTGATGTGACCTCAAACGTGCTGAGACCCTAATGAGGAAGGCTTCATATGCTGACAGCCCAGACCACTGCTGAAGCTTCTTAAGAGGGATCAGTGAGGAACACAAATGCCAGACTATAACAGAGACAAAAGTCTAGGATAGAACCAAAGGTAGGAACAAAAGGGAGATGGCAGATGGTCCCACCACAGAGACAGACCCAGGTCAGCTAGTTAACCAGATACTGCTCTGGGGAGTGGGTTTAGGGTAAAAAAGGTACTTGCAGCTCTGATTTGCTAAAATATTTTACCACAAATATAATTTTCATAACAGTTAAGCATTTTAAAAGTTTTTTTTAAGAGGCTGGGTGTGGTGGCTCACGTCTGTAATCCCAGAACTTTGGGAGGCCAAGGTGGGAGGACTGCTTGAGCCCAGGAGTTCAAGACCAGTCTGGTTAACATAGAGAGACTCCGTCTCTATTTACATTTTTTTATTTTTTAAAACATTTTCTATTTTATTTTTAATAGAGACAAGGTCTCGCCATGTTGCCCAGGCTGGAGCCTCCCAAAGTGTAAGGATTACAGGCATGACTCCTACTTATGTTAAAAAGTTTTAAATTAAAAAATAAATTAAATTAAAAATAAGGACTACAACAACCAATTATAAAGTATAAAAACAAATGTAAAAAAATAAGTAAAATAAAAATTAAAAAACAAAACAAAACAAATGTAAAAGGACAGCTTTAAGAGAAGAGTAAATATTTAAACATAGACTGAGAAAAAATTGTATTAGAGAATTAGCCTGTTAAAGTTTGTTGGGCGTGGTTATGAAAACATTTACTTATCAGTTAGTTACACTGATGCATATATGCCAGAAATGACACAGGTCTGGAATTTGCCTTAAAATACTCCAGTGTCTACTCCTCAAACCCCAAACAAACCAACAAATAAAAAAGTCACTGGGGTAAGGAACAGATTTTTAAAATACCTGCAAAAGGTAGACAGCTGTTGAAGCTGTGTGACCAGTCTCCTCACAAGGTTTATCATCTACTCTTCTCTCTACTGCTATGTATGCTTAGAAACACTGTAACACAGATGTAAAAGTAACAATGGGGCTGGGTGCAGTGGCTCACACCTGTAATCCCAGCACTTTGGGAGGCAGAGGTGGGCAGACTGATTGAGCTCAGGAGTTTGAGACCAGCCTGGCCAACATGGTGAAACCCCGTCTCTACTAAAATACAAAAATTAGCCAGGTGTGGTGGCATGTATCTGTAATCTCGGCTACTCGGGAGACTGAGGCACGAGAATCACTTGAAACAGGAGGTGGAGGTTGCAGTGAGCAGAGATCACCTCACTGTACTCCAGTCTGGGCGTGAGTGCAGGCTGGGCTGAGTGAGACTCCGTCTCAAAAAAAACAAATAAATAAATAAAATAAATAAAAATAAAAATAACAATGGGAAAGTGTGCCAAAGGGCAGGAGGGGAAGATGTTGAGTTTGTTCCTTTTCTGCTGTATATGAGTTTAGTCCTTGCAGGCCCAGTTAAGCTCTCTGAAAATAAGTATGGAATCTGACCTCAGGACATTTCTGATGTTTAAGCAGAAGATGAGATAGATGATCTATCTAAATCCTACAGTACTTCTAATTGTATTATCTCTATTTAAACAATTATTATCTCTATTTAATCTATGTGTTCTAAAATAAGAGCACAAATAAAGTAAAATAGCTCTAAGGCTATGGATCCTAACCTTTCATGGGTGACAGATGCTTTGAAAATTGGACAGAAGTTATGGATTATCTCCCTTGAAAAACATGCACACAGCCAGGCTCTGTGGTTCACGCCTGCACTTTGGGAGGCCAAGGCAGGTGGATCATGAGGTCAGCAGTTCAAGACCAGCCTGACTAATATGGTGAAATCCCGTCTCTATTAAAAATACAAAAATTAGCCAGGCGTGGTGGCACAGGCCTGTAATCTCAGCTACTCAGGAGGCTAAAGGCAGGAGAATCACTTGAGCCTGGGAGGCAGAGGTTGCAGTGAGCCGAGATCGCACCACTGCCCTCCAGCCTGAGTGACAGAGTGAGACTCCGTATCAAAAAAAAAAAAAAAAAAAAAAGGAAAAAAAAAAGAAAGAAAAACATGCACACACCACATACTGGGCCTAATTCAACTTAAAGAGGACCCACCTTGTCGTCTGGGACGGCAGAGGAGTGATGAAGTCCCTGCCAGATGACAACCGGGATTGCTGGAGGGCACGCCCACTGATTTAACCATCCTGTCCCCTCCCCTCTACAAGCAGGGAGGAGTAGAGCATGCATGTGAGTACCACACGGTGCCCCCTGGAGATTCCTGGCAACAGAAACAGGCATAAAGACATAAAGCCAGCATGCCCCTACAAAAACCATCTTCAAAGGCTTCCAGCAGGAGCAGCTATGATGGCAGCAGGCCCAGTGTCCACAGCACTGTGGCCACACCGCTCACAGAGTGCACCTCTTACCCACGAATCATTGAGGACCAAACCTTCACAAGGACATGCAGTCTCAGCCAGGTGCTCTTCACCTTTCAGACACTAGGCACCGTCATTTAGGAGCTACTGACTCCAAATCCTAACATCACTGAAAACAACTTGGTTGGTTCCAAGAAAAGGTTGTGTTTGAGAAAAGGAAGGTAAAAGAATAGGCCTGTGCACATAACAGTCCTTGATTCTGAAACCTCAGGGCTCAGTTTTATTCTAGATATAATCTACAGCTGTAGTTGTGTGTGTGTGTGTGTGTGTGTGTGTGTGTGTGTGAAATCTGCCACAATCTGCAACCACAGTCTTCAGTAACATCCATGACATTAAAAGCAGGGGCCAGTTTCACACAGCACTTCTTTTGGGTAATTTGTTTACAGACTAGGGAAATAAACTACAGATTTCTTACAGAAAACCAGGTCTCACCTTGCCCAGGAAGCAATGCTGCTCCTAGGTTGCCATGGAAACGGGGAAGGATTGGGTTAGAGTCCCACCACTGCTGGGCAATAAGGCTGAGACAAAGCGGCATTCCTGAAAAAATGGGGCCTGGTGGCCCAGCAGTCACGGGAATATACGCTCCCCTGCACCTTTTTTTTTTTTTTTAATTTTAGAGACTGGGTCTCCCTCTGTTGCCCAGGATGGAGTGCAGTGGCACCATCATAGCGCACCGTAACCTCGAATTCCTGGGCTTCAGCAATCCTCCCGCCTCGGCCTGTGGAGTAGCTGGAACTGCAGGCATGTGCCACCACACCTAGCTAAATTAAAAAAAAAACAATTCCTAAGTGTCACTAATACTTAAAGGGAAAGCTTGTTAGCAGAAGCCCAGTGGAAGCAAACTACCTTTTGGCGATAAGCCCCCAAGATTCAAGAGTAGGAAAAAAAGCCAAATTCACAGTGAAGATAAGCAATGTTGGCTAGGCACGGCCTCCGAGCTGAGTGTCTTGCTCATGCTACCTCCTTTCATTCTCCCAACCTCTTACAGATGACGCACAGGAGCTTGGAAACGCTGGGACCCACCCTCTTATTACTATACTATGCTGCTTTCCCAATTCCTTCAGGAGGCTGGCTGCTTTCCCTGAAAATCAAGGAATGGTTAGCAAAACCTACAAATATTCATTGGCTCAAAATAGAGTAAAGGAATTCTGTCACAAGGCATGACTTGGCCAGGCGTGGTGGATCATGCCTGTAATCCCAGTACTTTGGGAGGTCAAGATGGGTGGACCACTTAAGGCCAGGGGTTTGGGACCAGCCTGGCCAAGAGAGTAAAATCCCGTATCTACTAAAAATACAAAAACTAGTCAGGCGTGGTGACGTGTGCCTGTAGTCCCAGCTACTTGGGAGGCTGAGGCACAAGAATCTCTTGAACCCAGGAGGCAGAGGTTGCAGCAAGTCAAGATCCACTGCACTCCAGCCTGGACAACAGCAGGACTCTGTCTCAAACAAAACAAAACAAACAAAAACAAAAACAAAACAAACAAAAAAAACAAGACATGACTTACATCAGCAATCATGTGGTGAAAAGTTTAGAAAATGCCCTTATATGTAATACAGAGAAGTTAGAAACAAACAGGAAAAAAATAGGAACATAATGATCTAAAAGGCCATTCATACAGAAATTACATGAGGTGACTAAGGCATGTTACATATGAAAGTATCCTCTCCAGACAGAATGTAGGAGCTTCCTAAGGTCCTGCTCTTTTCCACACACGTTCTTTCTTTCTTTCTTCTTTCTTCAGAGGCTTCATCCTGAAGCAGCCCTTGGGGAGATTCTGGAGGGTCACACACATGCTTCTTCACATCCTCGCAGAGTTAAGTGCAGTGTCTACCGCTGGACGCCAATCCAGGGACCATGGCTTCTGCTGGGGCCATGCTGGGTCTGATACAGATGTGGTGGTTGGTACGGCGCTTCAGTTGCCTGCCTGCCCGCTGACTCCTCAGGACGCACACACTTACCTGGTGACCAGTCAGGAACAGGCCAACGCACCAACATGAGGTAGACCCACGGCCCTGCGAGCCTTACCTTATGTACACTTTTGGGGTTTTCCAGCCAAGCACAGTACATCTCCTCCACATAGTTCGAACTAGTCCCACTGAGAAAGGGCTCAGCAGCAACGGGTGCAGAATAGCACCGAATCTGTTGAAATGTCCTAGCTGCTGCTGGTCTGTTTTGTGAAAATGTCTTAACAGTCTGGGAAGCCGTCAACGGCCTCAACTTAGCAGCACAAGTCCTTAAATGAAACATTTTTGTCCTGAAGTTTTTCACAACTGCCTGTATTTAAAAAAAAAAAAAAAAAAGAAAAGAAAGAAAGATTTTAAAAATGAGCATTTAAGAGACAAGGCTACCAGATCCTGATGCTCTAGAGAAAGGATAATTGTTTTTAAAAAGCTACTAGAAGAAAACAAAAAACAAAAAACCAAAACTTGTTCAACTCTTAACTGTTGAGGAGAAAGACCCTGGCATATAAATACATTCACAAGAATACTACCTGCTCAGTGCCACCAGTTCATGTGCCTGAGAGCACAACAGAGCCGTGACTGTGTGAAACTCACACACTCTCTTGCACCTACTAACACAGGATGCCTGTGCTAGCCCAAGGAAGGTTAGTGTACAGTTGCAAATATTACCATCTTCACTTAAAAATTTAAATCTTGGCCAGACTCAGTGGCTCACGCTTGTAATCCCAGCACTTTGGGAGGCCGAGGCGGGTGGATCATGAGGTCAGGAGATCGAGACCATTCTGGCCAACATGATGAAACTACATCTCTACTAAAAATACAAAAATTAGCTGGGTATGGTGGTGCGCGCTTGTAGACCCAGCTACTTGGGAGGCTGAGGCAGGAAAATTGCTTGAACCTGGTAGGCGGAGGCTGCAGTGAACCGAGATTGCACCACAGTACTCCAGCCTGGCAACAGAGTGAGACTCTGTCTCAAAAAAAAAATAAATAAACAAAATTAAATCTAGTTTAAGGGCTGAGATGATAAACATACCATGTTCTTTAAATTTACATATTATATATATATAAAACAATTAGAAAAAAGGCAACAAGGATTAATTAATTTAGAATTAGGATTAATTAGAATAAGAAAAACATTTCTAATCTGTCCAGAAACTACTGAGTACCTGCTGTACTTACGATATTACGGAACATACAAAGAAATTAGAAAAATACTTTCCTTACTCTCAATTCACCCTTGAGCAGAGGGAAAACAACACACAAAAGATTGCAGAGGAATTACTGAGTACTTTAGAGGCGCGGAATACGCCAGCAGACCTGTAAGAGGACGGGCTCCTTCCAGGTGGGTGTGTCTCAGGGTAAAAGGACATGGATGGGGAGGAGGGAAGAGGAGGCACTGCATGTGGCAGTACCCATAGGCAGAAACAGAAATGGGAAGAGCCAGAATCTCATGGTACTAGGAAGGGTAAGGAAAAGCCACAGAGGGGTGTCCAGTGTCCCACCCGCCACCTCCTGCACTCAGCCCCCTTTCATAAGCCATGGGGAGCCAGGTCTGAGCAAGGGAGACACGGGTGGGCCCTGCAAAGATTGAAAAGAGCACATGGAGCAGTTCAATAATGCCTGCCTGGCCTGAGTCCTCCATGGTGAGTAACTCCACACATCTGACTCATGCATAAACCCAGAGGTTCCCTGTAAGGCAGGCATCAGCTCTTTCACTTTACAGATAGCTTCAGTTTCCATTCCCTTACATTTCATCCAAGGTCACAGGCTACTAGCAGCAGAGTCAGGATCCAAGAGGAAAGTTCACAAGGATGCTGCCTGTGGGAAAAAAGGTGCTTGCTGGCCTACATGGTTGCTCATGAATTTGTCTCAAAGCAGGCGCCCGGGTTGTAAAGTTGGAACTATACCCTGTGTCCACACCTACCCAAAGGAAGTCCAAGCTCTGAAACATAGCGTGAATTGTTACACAAAATATCTTCTATATTATTTATTGGAAACTTCCTCTTGGCCCAAATATGCTCAGGATACACATTAGGGACACCGAGAGAGGGCTCAGAGTATCCTGCATTCACCTCTGGCCTGCTCCACTGAGAAGAGATAGGTCAGCAAGAGGAAACAGCAGAACATATTCTTTAAAAACAAACAACACAAACAAAAACTTGCTCCTTACAAATTAAAGGTAAACAAGCAATATACTCTGGATATAATTAGGGAATGCAATCTTTACTCCTGGGTTTTTACTTTAGAAATCAAAAGTTTTAAGTTAATTCAGTAGTTCTTCCTACCTCCAACTACACTCCAACTTTTTCCACTGATATATTTAAGGGAAACAAAGAGCCCTAACATTGACAGCAAAAATACTACTGTTGTTTCGTTTTATGCTATTTTTTTTTTTTAATTTCTCAGGCTCAAAGGAAAATGTTCATTTTTTTCCTTTAATGTCATTATCTACGCAACATTAAACATCCAATTGCCTCTGGGTTGGGTTTCTCCCAGAAAACAATAGCATCACCTCATTAACTATCAGTATTCAGTTGCTGCAACAGCCCAATTAACAGGCACCGAACTGACAACTGTAAAACACCCATTTCATCTGTTCTTCCCAAAGTGCCCCCTTCAACATGATCCTGTTTAAGTAAATCATGACATTTTGCTATTCGCAATCACCGAATCTGACAAACAGTTAAGTGCTGCCCAGCAGAGCTGCCAGGACAGCTAGATTTTTTTTTTTTTTTTGATATGGAGTCTCGCTCTGTAGTCCAGGCTAGAGTACAGCGGCGTGATCTCGGCTCACTGCAACCTCCCCATCCCGGATTCAAGCAGTTCCCCTGCCTCAGCCTCCCGAGTAGCTAGGACTACAGGTGCGTGCTACCACACCTGGCTAATTTTTGTACTTTTAGTAGAGACAGGGTTTCACTATGTTGGCCAGGCTGGTCTCAAACTCCTGACCTCGTGATCTGCCTGCCTCGGCCTCCCAAAGTGCTGATACTATAGGCATGAGCCACCATGCCCAGCTGAGATTTTTAAACTTCTTTTAAGATGACTCATGGGAAGAGGTGCCTTTCAGCAGATGGCTCAACATCCCCAACTCCACCCAGGAACAGCCAGGACAGCTGTTTGCTGTCCACACTCTGACAGACCCACAGAGCCAACACTAACGCAAATTTCCAATTCTGGTAAATACCCATTCTTCACCTTTCTCTCTTACATAAAATGGCATAAGAAGATATTAAAAGCCAAGCACAGTGGTTCATGCCTATAATCCTAGCACTTTGGGATGCCAAGGCTTAAGGACTGTTTGAGGCCAGGAGTTTGAGACCAGCCTGGTAGTGAAACCACGTCTCCACAAAAAATTTAAAAGCTATCAGGTATGGTGGCACATGTCTGTAGTCCCAGCTACCCAGGAGGATGAGGTGGAAGGATCGCCTGAGCCCAGGAGGTCAAGGCTTCAGTGAGCTATGATCGTGCCACTCCACTCCAGCCTGGGTGACAGAGCGAGACCCTATCTCTAAAAAAATAAAAAACAAACAAAATATATTAAATACAAGAAGAAGGAAAACTGCAGGCCAGTCAACATTAGGTCTTGAAATTCAACTTAGAATTCTGTAACTGATACTAAGTCAACTTTAAGAATAGTACGTTATTTGGTAGAGACATTCAATTGTTTAAAACGCTTTTTCTGAAAGCGCCTCTGAGCTGTCCAAAATATCAAAATTCAAAGTGTTTTGAATTTTGGTTTAAAACAGGAATGTCCAATATTTTGGCTTCCCTGGGCAACACTGGAAGAATTGTCTTGGGCCACACATAAAATACACTAACACTAACGACAACTGATGAGCTTACAAAAAAAAAAATTGCAAAAACATCCATAATGTTTTAATAAAGTTTGCAAACTTGTGTTGGGCCACATTCAAAACTGTCCTGGGCCACATGTGGCCCATGGGCTGGAGGTTGGACAAACTTGGTTTAAAAGAATATTTCTATTTAAATGGGTGCCAACTCCATTCGGTGAGGAAAAGAACAGTCTTTTCAAATGAAGGTGCTGGGACAACTAGAGCTCCACGTGTAAAGAAGAGTGAAGTCACACAGTCATATACAAAATTCAAAATTGATCAAAGTCCTGAGTGTAAGAGATAAAACTGTAAGACACTTAGAAGTTTTATAACTTCCATGAAGTAAATCTTTGTGACCTTGGTTCAAGCAATGGATTCTTAGTTATGACACCACCAGTATAAACAACAAAATAAAACCCACAAATTGAATTTCATCAAAATAAAAAACTTGGCCAGGAGCGGTAGCTCACGCCTGTAATCTCAGCACTTTAGGAGGCTGAGGCAGGTGGATAACTTGAGATCAGGAATTCAAGACCAGCCTAGCCAACATGGCAAAACCCCATTTCTACTAAAAATACAAAAATTAGCTGGGCGTGGTCACACACGCCTGTAGTCCCAGCTGCTCGGGAGGCTGAGGCAGGAGAATCCTTTGAACCCAAGAGGCAGAGGTTGCAGTGAGCTGAGATCGCCCCACCACACTCCAGCCTGGTTGACAGAGTGAGACTCTGTCTCAAAATAAGCAAAAAAATAAAAAATAAAAAACTTTTGTGCTTCAAATAACTTATTAAGAAAGAAATGATATAGATGGGAGAAAATATTTGCAATTATCTGATAAGGAACTTACATGCAGAATATATAAAGAACTCTTGTAATGCAACAGTAAAAAAACAACTCCATCAAAAAGTAGGCAAAGGATTTGAATAGACATTTCTCCAAATAAGATATACTAATAGCCAATAAACACATAAAGTTACCATATAACTCAGCAATTCCACTCCTAGATATATAATCAAGATAAATGAAAATGTACGTCCACAAACAACTTGTACACAAATGCCCATAGCAGCATTATTGGTAAAAGTCAAATAGTAGAAACAACTCAAATGTCCATCACTGATGAATGGATAAGCAAAACATGTTATATCTATAGAATATAATAGCATTCTGCAATGAAAACTAAGGAAGTGCTGGCGCATGCTCCACCTGGAGGAACCCTGAAAACATTATGCTCAGTAAAAAGAAGCAGATGCAAAAGACATTATGAGTCTATTCCTCTGCTCTCACACAACAATCAACACAGAAGATTTCTGTGACTAAATGTATGAGGAATTCTCCCTACCAATAAGCAATTCAAGTCTGCTGCTACCTACCTGGAGATGGCATCAGATACCACAGGTCAAGAGCTCAATCTCACAAGGCTGCCCCCTATTTTCGATGTAATAGCAAGCCCCCAGTTGTCTTACTTGTACTTCTGGCCAAC